TTTTGACTATTGTGGCTGTATAGTAGGTTTTGAGATCCGGCAATGTGAGACCTCCTACTTTGTTTTTCTTCTTCAGTAGTGCTTTGCTTATCCGAATGACTGCAAATTTTAATTGCTGATTATAATTGACAAAGCAGTTCCACTTTATCAAGAGAAATGTGATAACTATGATTAAGAAACAGGATGACTTCCCACTATTTTCACTGCATATATTTATAGTTTTTGAAGTTAAAGAATTGAAGGTTCTCACTCAGATGGGAAAATATAACAACCAGATAAAGAAGAACTGTAACTAAAACAAAGCATGGAAGACAATGTAACAGAAGACAAAGTATGAATTTGATCTTTGTGTTTAAGATCCAAAAACACAGAAAGTTTTCTCTTTTTTCCTTACCTTTTCTACAGCAGGTACAAACTGCTTTGGAATATTTGACCCGAAGGTTTCATCTGAAAACACCAACTTAGTGTAGTTCTCTGGGTCCAGAGGCTCCAGTACACCAATCACTTTCCCAAATTGGCCTGCACCACCTGATTGTTTCTTATGTGTAAACTCAAACCTGAAAGTGATTGAGGAAGGGGACAAAATCAACATTATGGAATTATGTAATACAGCATTATGTAATTACCACAACTAAGTAACTCCTACTAATTGAAATGAAAAAATTGCATTGAATCATGTTCATATTTCCCTCTGAATATGATAACATTGCAATAAAATTTTACAGTAAAATTGACTTTTAAAACAATCATCTCTTCTCTGTTCTTATTTGGGGTGAAGGTAGGGAACACCACTCAAATAACCAACAGTTTTCTTAATTCTGCCAGTTTTGAATTTCACAAATAAAAAAACAAAAGTAATTAAAATAGAAAAGGCCAGTTTAAGGTTCTTGTTCTAGTGACCTATATTCCAAAGAACTTACCCACTTCTGGAACCTCTCCCCTTTCCCCAGCACATAGTATCTCTACTTAAATCACTGCAACTAGGGGAGTTAACTGAAAAATAGGAGCTCTGATGATCAAAGTTAACTTACTGAGATGATTCCTCTTTTATTTGACTACTTGGGCACTATAACTAACTGCTCAATACAAGAAAAGAGAATTTCAGGTGGCATCACTAACACCTGAAAATAATTAACATAAATCATTCCTATAAATGTGTTGTCATAGAGTCAATTCTGACTCCTAGTGATCCTACAGGAAAGAGCGGAACTGCCTCACAGGTTTCCTAGGCAGTAATCTTTGTGGGAGAAGATCGCCAGGTCATTTCTCCCATGAAGTGGCTGCTGGGTTCCAACCACCCAGTTTGATTAGCTGCCACGAGACCCACTGTTTGCCCGTTTTTAAAAATCCTGCTTTTGTTAGAAGCTACTTCAATGTAATGCTTTGTGTAAATTCACTTTTTAAGTATGTTTTAATCCTACAGGTAAAATCTTCAGTGATTCTAGTTGGAAGTATGGTGTTATACCAAAACCTTATCTTTCTTAACTCAGTGAAAGAAAACAGTACATTTCTTATTTCTCACGATCTCTCATACGCTGACTTGGGCAGAATGGCCCAGCCCCACAGAAAGCTCAAGATGAGCAAGCCTGCTCTTGGACTATCATGGAATCACTACCTGAACCACCTTTGCACCAAGCTGGACACTAGGGGCTGTGTACAAGGAAGTCACGCTTCCGTCTTGAACTGAAGCAACTAGACTCTTTCCATGGAAAGGAAACTGGAGGCCCCAAAGGAAACGCCTAAAAGTCAAAGGTCAGAAAGCCCTCCCGCACTGCTTTAAAGGTTAACAAAAGGATAAGTTTCCGGTCTGCCTACTCCAACTCCCTCTTCACTCTTCTGCCGCCTCCCCGCCAGGAAGGCAGCCCAGTCTCTCCTCCAGCAAGAGCGCACCAGAACCCACCGCTTAAAGCAAAAGGTGGCAGGGCGGGGCTCTGCGCGGGGACGCGAGCCCAACCAGCAGCTTCCTGAATCCGAAGGCGGGAAGGAGGAAGAGGGAGGGCGCTCGCGATCCCGTCCACGCCCTGCCCAAGCCTGGCGTGCAGACTTTTCCGCCTGGACAACCCGACAGGCAGCAAGCTGGACGGGCGGAGCCCAGGCCCGTTCCCGTTAAGCTCCAGCAGCCCCGCGGTCTCCCAATCACCGCTCACCGCTAATGGAAATCCCACCGACCCACTTCCCAGCCTCCAGGGCGGCCTCGGTAGCAGAGAACTGCATCAACTACCAGCAAGGGACTCCCCACAAGGTGTTTATGGTGCAGACAATCAAACAAGCCAGCATGGAGGTGAGTCCAGCCGAGGGGAGGGCGGGCACCGGTTCTGGGTGAGTAGCGTTCCCTCCACTCGCCAAGTCTCACCTCGCTCCGCTTCTCACCCCCTAACCCCCACCCCTGCTCGGCCTCTCCTCTGAGACTTGCCGCTGACTTCTAGTCTAGTTGTTGTTATGTGCGGTGGAGTCCGACCCAACTCAGCGACCCCTCCTTGGGTTTCCGAGGCGGTATCACTACGGAAATAGATTGCCCAACCTTCCTTCCGAGGAGTGGCTGGTAGGTTTGAACCGCCAGCCTTCTGGTTAGCAGTCAAGTGCCTTAGGCATTACGCTACCACATTCCAATCTCAGGTGACAGCCTAGGGCTGTTTCTTTTCAGGGTAACGCAGACAGCTGGTCAGCAGTTCCAATCCCACCACCTGCTTTGTAGGAGTACGATGTGGCAGTCTGCCTCTGTAAAAGATTACAGCCTTGGAAACCCTGTGGGGCAGTTCTGCTCTGTCCTATAGGGTCGCTACGACTTGGAATCAACTAGAAGACGATGAGTTGGGTTTGTTTTGGTGTTACAAAGAAATGGGAAAATGCTCTGGAAGAATAGAGGTATCTTCCTTTCTCCAAGTGAAGTCCTTCAGAACCATTCAAAAGAATCTTAAAACTCCTACTGCATTTCTCATCTACTACTCCAGTTGGGACCACCAAAAGCTATCTCCACAGCCTAAATTTTAAGACTGATCCTTGACCAAAAAAAAAAAGGGGGCGGGGGGGCAATGAACTGCAAGAGAAACTGACCAAAGAGAATAAAAACACTGCCAAATGAAGCTTCCCTTTCATCAGATCCAAACTGCCTGCCTTAAATGATTTTGTTCCTCTGCCTAAAGGGTTAAATTAAATGTTTAATGCCTCAGCAATCACTAAATAGGTTTGTTCCCATTATACTAAAAATCTGATGGATTTGAGATTGTCCCTTACTTATCTGACATAATTTTAACTTTGAGCAGGCTTTAAGAGCTGAAAAAGAATGGGTGTTATTTTGCAACTGCACCAGATAATAGAACATAATTAGGTACAAACTCTTAAAATTATAAAATTCAAAGTATCATTTTGCAGGTCAGCTAATATATTAGTAAAACCAACACTTACTATTCATTAAGCTTCCAACCACTTTGCAGCTAAGCTAACAATGGAATTTACCTTCATTGAACATTATTTCAAGGATACATCGAGCTTCATGGACGAAATCTATTCAAACATGTCATATTTTTCATTGTCATTAGAATTAAAAGTTGTCCCAATTTCTTATGTAGAACTACAGATCCAAATCAGATGTTAAAATCTCACTTTCAGTCAAAGTGAGTTGTGCCTACTTTATTTGTATGCTTCTATCCCACCTTTTTATTTTCATCCCAAATAAACCTGATAGAGGAGCTGCACTTGCTTAATCAGGTATTACATACATGGTGATATGCATTTTTCAATGTCTAAGGCTTCAATCTTTTACCCACACCAGCGAGCCCCCCAACCAAATGATAATGGATTCTTCTAACAGTACAAAAAACTGAGTTAGTGTTATAAATTTTTCTTCTCTCTACCACATGTTCTTAATTTTAGGATATTCCAGGAAGAGGACATAAATATCGCCTTAAATTTTCTGTGGAAGAAATTATCCAGAAAGTAAGTGAAACATCCTTTATTATTAAATAAAATCTGATTCCAAATATTCCAGATTATTTTAGCTGATCAAATCATAGGATTAGTTTTGCCTTTTAAAACAAACAAACAAAAATAGTTGATGTGAAATCCTTGTCTCTAATAAAATACTATCTCCATGGTAAAGCATACAAGGGTCAGTTTTCACTACTTGTGTTTTCCAATATCCATGAAGTATTTATGTTGTACTGTTTAGAAAATAGATTCTATATACTTCAATTTCCTTTTTAAAAATTACATCTGTCTCTCTCCCAACCCAACAGCATCTTCCCCCAGAATCAAAGCCTCTTTTCAAATTTAGTCTCTGACACGGACCGAATACCTAGTAAGCAAGTATACACAAGCTTACTTATGTTTAGTTACTAATCTGTAGTGAACAGTTTCACATGTCTTTCACGATATTTTAGTGTGGTGATCAGTTTCTGCAGTGGCAATAGTTTTCACATCAAACTACAATCACCTTGTGGAGTCTGAGTGAGCAGGAAACCAGCTTTCTAAAACTAACCATGTGTCAAGTCAGACAGAGTGAGGATCTTTGTTATCTGGATGCTGGGTCCTGTTGAACTGTGACAGTCAGCTTTACCTCATTTTTGTTTTTAGCCTCTCCCCCTATGTTCTCTGGAACTGTGGCCAAATTCTTCTCTCCTTTCAACCATAGGCAGGCCCAATGAAAGGGGCTCAGGAGAGTCCAGGCTGCAGGGCTTGACACTAATTTAAACACCTGCTTTTTATAAAATACTCTTCGCTCTGCCTCAGGCAGTCACCATGGAGTCACTCCTTGAATCCTATGAAAGCCCAAGAGAATATGTTTCAACAGAGTAAGTGATTCCTTAACAGCCAGGCTCAGCACTGAGAGGGTTTAAACTGAAGGTCAAGAACCAAGTTTTCTCTCCTTTCTCACCTTAATCCTCTTCCACCCTCACTTCCGTCTCACCTTCCTCCACGCATACTCAACTCACTCCTTAAAGACAGTTACCATAGTCTCCTGTTACAGATTAAATGATGTTTCCCCCAAAATATATGTTGGAATCCTAACCCCTATGCCTGTGGATGTAATCAAATCTAATGTAATTACCATCCAATAAGCAATTTACCGTAATGTTATGTAATCAATTAGTGTAGGGTAGATCCTAAACCTAATTGCTTCTGAGTTATATACAGAACAGCATAGACACAGAGAAGTAAGTACATACTGGGGAAGACAGGTGCCATTTGAGAATTGCCAAGGAATCAAGAAATGCCCAGAACTACCAACAAGGAAGGAATCCACCCAACCATGACCCTTATTTGGACTTTTAGCCTCTAGAACTGAGAAAATAAATTTCTGCTTTCTAAAGCCAAACCAAAAATAAAAAAGAGACTGCATGCTCATAGGGTAGTCTGAACTTATGCCACATATAAATAAGTGAAGCAATTTACTCTTCAACCATGAAATCATGATCACTTTCATATATGTCTGTCTTTCTCATTCTGTATTTGAAGAAAGTATGTGCTTTCAGATATTCATGAGCAGTAGAACAGCCAACTGGTACCACTGTACAGACAAGGGTCGTTCAGTACTAAGGCTGGAAACATGTTTAAATTACGCACCTGTCAAATTATTAATAAGACAAATTTAAGATGAAGGAACTGCCTTAACTATCTTGAAATTTAAAAACTTGTACCCTAACTATCTTGAAATTTAAAAAACTTGAAGTTTTGAGCATAATTCAGAAGACATAGAGGCTAACATAAGGAGATTCATTAAAAACCATAACTCAATGCTACAGTCTTCTAATTTTACATCTAGATACAGATTGTTGTATCTGGGTTTGAGAAAATTTCTGTATTTTGGGAAACTGTGTAAAAGTAATGGAAAAAGGTAAAAAGTAAGTAGCATTTGGAGCAGGTCTATATAAACAGACGACAGTCTGATCTTGCAAATGGACATCCCATTAATACTGAAATATATTAAAGTTATATAAGATGAATTTACAAGGTTGTGACACTTAGATGTTAGAAGTTTCTTGTTCAGGCTACTTAAATGATCTCTAGAAATTTACTAGCTCAGTTCCAATTAGACCCCTCTGGGAAAAATCAGAGCTGAAGCAACACATCAGGTGTCAATGCTTTAAATCTTGTATTTCCAAGAACAATAATCTAGATGTAAGGATCTTTTGTAAAAATGTCTCAAACAGCAAGTTACAGTGAACTGCACGGCTGAAGTTCTTTACCCTCCAGTGGGACAAGATACTGCACCAGAAGTCAACTTCACATTTGAAGGAGAAATTGGCAAGAACCCAGATAAAGAAGATAATACATTTTATCAGAGACTTAAGTCTATGAAGGAACCACTTGAAGCACAAAATATTCCAGGTATGTAAATATAACATGGAAAAAAAATTATTTTTCTTTTCAACTTTAAGATATTGATTTTCTATGCTCAAAATTGTTAGATATTAACACTGTGTTAGAAATATATTGGCTTTCACAAAAATACTCATTAACTAGCTAATCCAACAACAACAAAAAAGAGGCTCTGGAGAGATCCGTGCCTTAAGGTTTTGTTTTGTTTTTTCCTACACACATCTGAAAGAAGCTAAGATGTGACTTAAAATTTAGATTTTTTTAAGGTTAATAAGGAATATATACAATTATATTTAATTATTTGACATGAATATAAATGTTTCTCCTACCAGACAGTTTTGGAAATGTATCTCAAGAAATGAAGCCAGTTCGACATTTAGCGTGGGTTGCCTGTGGTTATATAATATGGCAGAATTCTACTGAAAATACATGGTATAAAATGGTAAAAATTCAAAGTGTCAAGCAAGTGGTAAGTACGTTTTATCAAATATACCACTGATAGGGTTAATATTTATTTAAACTATTGTAATGATATGGTGTCCCTTTAGTCTTGTATTTAAAATAGTGAGCCTGATGTTTTAAAGGAGAGGTCAGTTACAATCAGGCTAGAGAAGATGAACGATTGTGGGAAGAGTGCAAAGCAGCAGCAGCTGGTCCAGAAAATCACTTTGTTTGGCTGAGATGCAAGGAAAGGCCTGATTTGCCTGAAACTTACCTTCCTAGTAACTGGACTGGGCTGATTTTCTCTGTGTACACAATGACCAGGTAGCAGATCAGCAGCTAGGCAAATCCAAGGATTTCGCTAAAACACTTTTGACTAATAAGTAGTATAGAGAGCACTTTCAAGTGGCACAATAATACGAGTTCTAACTTTTCATATTAAGCAAATCAGATTTGATTCTGATGCTTTATTCAAACCCTCTCTTAAAGGAAAAAGATTTGGAGGGTTTCATTAGGAGTTGAGGTACTGCTAATGATTCTTCTCATCTTTGATCAGCTATACAGAGGTAAAGAGGGCCACTTTTTACAGCACTCACGAGTGAAACTGGCTATTAGGTATTAATTTAGATTCTGTTTCTTCTTGGGTTTTTGTATCCTTTTTGCCATTGCTTGCAATTACAACAGAGTGAAGTCTTAAATTATAAATAATCTGGCATCAGTTTTTGTGCTCAGCTTAATACAGATAATTTCCTTTGCAATCTAGTTTTCTGTTGAAATTACTACAGTCATGCAATAGTGACTGCTTTTACTCCTTACTGAAATGGTGGTCCCTTAGTGACTGGCATTTCCCCCTGCCAGCAATCAGATGAAGGAAAACAGCAGCATCTCGATTTTCCTGAAGTTTGCTGTAATGTCTTTAAAATAGTTCCACTCTCATTCCTTAGCTTGCTGTGCATCATTTTCTTTTTGTAACTTATTTAATCATAACTTGCAACCTTATACCTTACTTGTTCTTAGCTTTGCATTTTCTCAAAGCTGGTATGATGACTATTAAGAACTGCTTCTTCCTATATCTTAGAAATAAGAAGAAAATCTTTGATTTTTGCTTTTTTAAGAGGTTAGGAAAAATAAAAAGGATTTTTGACTTAGAATCTGATACAAATCAAGAAAAATGGAGTGCAATGAAATCACACTTTTAGTCAGCTCTGTAACAGAAAAGGACTTTCTGGTTGACTTGTTTCAGCTTGTTGGCAACAAACCACAAGGCAGCCAGAGCACCTTTTCTCTACAGGCTTTTGCAACCACTGTTAGACACAGGCAACTGGAGGCAAGATGTCCAATTACATTGCTCAGAGTGATAGCAAATACCTACCACAAATATTATGACATTTTGAGAAACAGTCTCTTTTTCCCTAATACATTTCCATAGACCATGGCTACCACATTCATATAGGTGTACTTGGGACCTCTGGTGGCATAGTGCCTAAGGTGCATCTGATGGCTAACCAGAAGGCTGGCAGTTCAAACCCACCAGCCACTCCTCAGAAGGAAGGTTGGGCAATCTACTTCTGTAGTGATACTGCCTCAGAAACCCAAGGAGGGGTCCCGATGAATCAGATCCAACTCCACAGCAGTGGGTTTGGGTTTTTTTGGTGTTTATAGGTGTAATGAGACTGCAACTAAAGGAGTAATTGATCTAAGTTACAGAGACCATGAAACCATAATCATGATTTTCAACCTTTATTTTTTTAGCAAAATATCCATTAAGTGCTAGTAGTTTTATAAAAGAAAACTTCTGTAACCCTTCACTAAATTTTGGTCTTAAAGCATTAATGAAAATCTCAACAGGATTTAACTGGCCTCCACTGGCCTGTCAGTACGGGGGGTGGGGGGAATCAGTTTCTGGCCATGTATGTGACATGTCTTTGCCTATTAAGATCCCACACGGAAGAAACCTTACTGATTTTTCTATTATCTGAAAGGACATTTTTTGTTGGTATATTAAAAGACTGCTTCTCCTTATAAGGAGAGAAAAGTACACGTTAAAATAGTACTTTCTTTGACTCTGTGGCCACATTTACAATCACACTAAAGGAGCCACAGAAGCTTTTGCTGCCCCTTGGAGTCTAGGGATTGTTTCAATACATTGATCACAAACCCTAAAAAAAGCCTTGTGTAAGCACAGCAAAGTTCTGATAATCAGGGTTTGAAATTATGCAGCTATGTCTTCCTGTATATCTAATGGTATAAGTACTTTTTATTTCCATTATAACTACATTTACTACCTTTTACGATAAAGAGTCCCCAGGTTTCAAACGCCAGATTTGAGACAACTGGTAATAGCCCTTTAATGTTATGTAAATTTGCCCTCACTTTGAAATGACTCCCAATATATTCTTCATCACAGTTACCTGCACTTGCACAGTCAGCTTTCTTTTATATCATGGAAAAGGCTTCAAGCCTTTTCTTGTACTAAGTAAGGTTAAATCAGAACTGTATGCACCTGCTCCAACTTACCCACACATTCTTAAAGACATAGTTCAGAACGGATCTCTCGTTTCCCTGGGACTGCCTGTATTTTCCGTTTTCTAAAGAGAATTTCTATTATACAATTTGTTTCCTATAAACTTATTTCAGTAGTTTATCCCTTTGACGGTACTCTTCTGAGCAAGGGGAACACTAAGAATTCTTAAATAACAAACTACACTGTAATGTTCCTAAGTAGCTACTCCAACAACTTGGATTCAGAAAACACAATTTTTAAAGTAGCAAATGAAAAAGCATGATTTTAAAATGTAATTTGAAAGACTATTTATTTAGTATAGGAGAGCAGTTTATCTCTCAGGCCAAATTTACAAATAAAGTACAACATTCGATTTTTACTTTTACCTAAATCGAAGTATTATAATCATCTACTAATGAAAGCTGATTTTAAAAATTAAAATGTCATTTTTTCCAATGATATTAAGTTTCAAACACCAGGTTTTTATTTTTGTCATAGCAAAGAAATGATGACTTTATTGAATTAGACTACACCATTCTACTTCATGACATTGCATCTCAGGTAAAGTATCTCTTATCTTTTTATTTGATGCCACTCTGAAAACTGACATAAGTTTTATAGCCACCATATGCTTTATTAATTTGGATTTTAAATGAAAATTCCTGTAAATACAGATAGGTGGTAGGCTGGTGTTTATATTTGTAGCAATTTAACTTGTTTTGTGCTACTCTTTATGAGAACAGTTTGTCTCTAACAAAATATAAACCCAGTTGTATATTTGTAAATATTTGCTGAATTTTATCATGGCATTAGTTTTCTTTACTTGCAGGAGATCATTCCTTGGCAAATGCAGGTTCTCTGGCATCCACAATATGGTACTAAAGTAAAACATAATAGCCGTCTGCCAAAGGAAGCACAACTGGAATAAACCAAGACCTAACGCTGGGATGAAGTATAAACATGCTTATTAATGGTGTCTATGCCAGTCTTCACTTATATCCAGTTTAAGGAGCCAACTCAATTCAAAAGTATCATTTTACATAAATGTTTTGATTACAATATAGAACTGTATAGATTCCATAATAAAAAGTGTCACAGTGTAAAGACATCTTAGTAACAGTATAGTCTTACCTATGTTCCATAATAAAGAGCTTCAATTCTAGACAAATAACTGTATTTAGTTATATTGTATACTTACGGGACAGGAGCAGTAATGGTCTCTCTAAAGGCAACTTTTGGCTTTCCAGTGATACAAGGGCAGCCATATTCTCTCTCCAGCCTCTAAAAAAGTGGGGGAGAGGAGGGAAATAGAGGAAGATAAGACAATTTTCTCCATAAAGATAATCCATTTCATTCCCTTACTAAGGCAGAATTTGCTAAGTCTCATATATACTAATACTGAACAGACATTTAACCCAGACTTAACCAATCCTTTCTTCACAAACAGTATAATTTAATGCTATAAATATTTTTTTGATATATTTAAATTTTAAGAAACAAAGCAAAATTCTAAGCATCTTAAATACATTTAAGGTACATTCACTCAAATATAATGGATAAACATAAATCTTAAATCATTTAAACATCTTACAAGGATTAAATACATGATAAACAATACAAATTATATTAACAGATTTTTATATAAACGGTTTCTAATTGAGACTGATTAATTTACACTTACCTCCAATTAATCTGTCCACTAAAACTTAACCATTGTTCCATTATTATTGTATATCCACTGTATATTCACTGGAATAATATGTGAATCTAATGTCAGAGCTTTGCTATGATGTCAACTTCAAGGATAAGATCATAACAGTATTACACCTTTTGTTTTTATTCATAGTCATACATAAGACCTTTCCTAGGAACAAAGAGGCCCCACCCACACTCTATCTATATTATAATGATTTTCAGGTATTAAGTTGAGAGAGGGCAACAGGCAAGAAGTGACCTGAAGAGTGGGAGCTGGTGGGCATACTTTCTAAGCAGATTTCTCTTTGTACATTGTCTCCCTAAGGCTGAGACCCAGTTAACCCTGACCTGGAGATGGATAAGCAGTCTAGCTGCAAATCCTCGGAACCTTGATTCTAGAGCTCCTCAATATTTTACAAATAAAAAGAGGTTTAGAGATCAAGAATTACAAATTTATAACACGTGGTAGAGAAGGCTGTATGCCATATACAAACAAGACTGAGGCAGGAAGAACCATCATTAGTTTGTAGTTATAACATTAAGAATTATTGACTTTTAACTAACATAGACACTAATAAATAGAATTCAATTTCACATTCTTGTTAGTCATTACCTGAGCATAGATCTCCAAGTGTAATTCCCCCATTCCAGATACAATTGTCTCTTTGCTCTCAGTGTCAAAGTGGACCCTAAATGTGGGATCTTCTCTTGTAAACCTGGCAATACCTTTTGAAAATTTTTCTAGATCATTCTTTAAAAAAAAGGAAAAAATAATCAACATTTTATTAAACATGGTAATTAATAAAATTTTTGAAAGAACTTCACTGAACTAAATTCAAACGCACCAGCAGTTAAAAAAATAAAAATAATCAACATCCAGTTCCTTGAAGACTACACCTTTTTGTTTCCTATGTGACCCAGGACACCACACACCCAAGAGAACAGGAAATATTCAGCTAATAAAATCTGTTTCCACACCAAGACAGACTTATAATAAGAGTCCAAGACTTAGCTCAATGCCCTTTTCTAGTGCAATGACAAACTGCCATTTGTGGTTGAAAATAAAGTAGAAGGTTGAATAGGCATTTTAGAAATCCTATACATAATCAAAGGAATTGACACATTCACCAGGACTGTGTAGATTCAAGCAGAAGAGTTAAGACCAACACTGAGGCAAATGCCACACTGAGACTGTCTTTGCAGTCTCCTTGGAGTCTCCAAATCTCCTTGGATATAACATGATGCATCCTTATTCTACTTAAATGCAATTTCATATGCATGAGGCAGCATAATGGATCTCCAAAGCAGATTAACGTTATGGATTGAACTGCATCCCCCCCGAAAAGATATGCAAAAGTCCTAAATCTGGATACTTGTGAATGGGACCTCATTTGGAAACAGAGTCTTTACAGAAATCAGTTAACATGAGGTCATACTGGAATTGAGTAAGCCTTAATCCAATATGACTGGTATCCTTATAGAAACAGAGACACACAGATAGAGGAAAGAGAGCCATTTTAAGACAGAGGCAGGGATTATAGTGATGCTACCACAAACTAAGGAATGCCTAGCAGAGGCTGGGAGAGACAAGGAAGGATCTTACCCTAGAGTATTCAGAAAGAACATGACGCTGCTGATACCCTTAATTTGGACTACTAGCCTCCTGAACTGTGGGACAATACATTTCGGTTGTTTTAAGCCATATAGTTTGTGGTGATTTATTATGACAGCCTTAGGAAACTAATACCAGACACACTTAAAAGTTTTTGATGTATAAACAACCCCAAGACACCAAAAAACCTTTTGGTTATTGAGGCACTGATGCATTTGATTTCCCTCTATATTGTGAAATACCAACAGTTAAATGTATTACACAAACTCTAGATTTAGGAATGAAAAAGCATAGTAACTTTAGCTTCAAATCCTGCATATTTCTAAGAGGAAAAAGCAAGCAATTTAGGAAAACGCTTGAACAATCACACTATGGCATCTTACTAAAGTAAGATGTGAGGTTCACCCTTCCTCCAATCTGAGAAGATGGAGTGATTTAATATTTCTTGCCACCTCAACAATTTTATTCTATGCAAACAAAAGGTCTAGAAAATCTTGAGATTCCTCAAAATTGATTAGGCAGTTGTTAATAATGTATTTGTAAATGATAGTTCCCAGATGACAAGTAGTTGGTCATAAAATGTTTACTCAGAATTTCAATATACTACATTAACATAGTTATGAATGTCAATGCACCTTAATAACTAAACAATCATGGTTCAGTATCAGGGTTAATTCAAACAGCAAGTAACATGAATAAAGAACCTATTCAAGAACATTTTGGCTTTGTAAAAGGCTAATGATATCATACCCAATTACAAAATAATTCTCTTTATATATTAGTGTGTGTGTGTGTATATATATATATATATATATATATATATATTTCCATTTTATAATCAAACATTTACTTCATAATTACCATAAAATCTGGAGAGGCAATTAGTCTATGCAACATTCTAATGTACTCTACACTGGGGTTTTACTATAACTTAGGATAAATATCTTCTCTCTTTTTTTCTGTCCCTTTATGATCTGAATCCAGAAGTTATACTTACCACTCTAATAAGAGGTAAAAATACAGTCTGTTGAATATTTTAAGGCCATGAATTCCTTCAAATATGCTGAGGAGTTACTACTAGAAACCGACTGGTAAATTTAAAAACATGATCTCAATACCGACAGAGGAAATAGAGACCATAAGATTGCTGATTATCACAAAGTACCATGTGCACTGTGAGACAGATGACAAAAAGCTCAGGTGTTTGTGATATACTGAGCTACAAATTAAAACAAACAACAACACATTGCTGTCAAGTCAGATCTGACTCACAGCAACCCCTCCTTGGGTTTCTGAGGCGGTATCACTGTGGAAGTAGATTGCCCAACCTTCCTTCCAAGGAGTGGCTGGTGGGTTTGAACCACCAACCTTCTTGTTAGCAGTCAAATGCCTTAGGCACTATGCCACCAGAGCTCCCAAGCTATAAATTAAACTCCTACCTTATTAGAAGGCTTCATTGCTATTGAAATGACAGGATCAGGAACATGAATTGACTCCTAAAATATTTTTTTTAAAGAAAACAGAAAAATTCAGTATGAATGGGGCAGGGATGGATTAAATTTGATATGCTACTTTAAACAGAACAAAGGACAAACACAAGCCAACATATCCTAGTCTGTTTTATATTAAATACACAGGTGTCCACTTATGATCTCCTCTATTTTTTTAACCTTTTAAGGCCCTTAAATTTACTGATATTGTCAGTTTAACATAATTACATATGCTGAGATAGGCATTTCTTTCTTTTTTTTTTTTTTTAATTGTGATTTGGGTGAAGATTTACAGAGCAAATTCACTTTCCATACAGCAGTTCACATATACTTTGTCTCATGACATTGACCACAGTTTACCACAATGCAACAGCTCCCCTCCCACTTCCTCCCCATAGTTACTTCTTCCCAGTGTCCATCCCTCCATACACTCCTGCCCCCTGAGCTGTCTCCTTGTGCATAAGCAGCCCTTCTTTCTCCCATGATTGTTCTCTCCAAGGAGTGTATCTACTTGAGGTAAATGTTCAACTCATATGCCTGCCTGTCTTTTGTTTGGCTGGAAATCACAGGTGTGGGTTCAATTGCAGACCTGAAGGGCAGCTAGGGGCCATAGTGTCAGTGGTTCCACCAAGCTCTGAGATAGGCATTTCTTATTGGCTAATGGTTACAACTGCTGCAACAATCATCTGACAAGTTACTTTCTTTGATCAAATATACTAAGATCACTGACAAGAGAAACACAGAAAGGGCACTAGAGTCTTTATACATATGAGACCTCATTTAATCATCACAACACTGAGAGGCAAGCAGTATTATCCCCATTTTACAAATAAACTCATTGAAGATGTGGAAAGAAGATACAATAATTTGACCAAGGGCTAGCAGTCAATGTAGGGCAGAGGTGACCAGACTATGCTTCAAAGCCTGAGCACTTCCCACAACCTTCAGTCCCTTCATATTGCTAATGCCAAATATTTAGAGAAAACCTTATGAAGAATACTTATAAAAATATTTTCCTTACCAAGATTCCAAACATAAATTATATAGATTTCTTTATGGGTTTTTTTGGTACTGTCTTAAATTAACATGGAAAATAGATATTAGAGACTTTCATGCAAAAAAGGCTAATTACAAAATTATGATTTCATCATCTGATGTAGAAACTATTACAGTATTCATCTGTTAGGGCTCGACTAGCTCTTACGTAGAAGCCCCATTACAAATCCCTCCACTGCTCAAATTACCTCTCCCCCTATGTACTTATGCCCTCTTTTCTGAATGCATGAGAAGGGCCACCTTCAGGCACAAATGATCATTCCATAGGAGTTTATTCTGTTATGGAGGGAAGTGAATGAGAGGATTCAAAGGCAGGAACTTCTTAAGTATGCTCTTCCCCTTGGGATCCTTCAATGATCAAAAGGGGCTTTTGATTTCCAGAGGGGCAACCTACTTCCAAAAGATCACAGTTATTGACAATCTTCTGGAGCACAGGACTCTGAAACACATGCAGTCCATGAGTCAGAAGCTACTAGACAGCAACGTGTTTGGTTTTTTTCCCCCCGAGAGCAGGCTGTGTGCAGTAAGTCAGATTGCCTAGTTGCATCTTGCCTTCTGAAATGTTTAAAAAACCAAACTCACTGCCATCAAGTCTACTGCAACTTAGAAACCCCTTTTGGATTTCCAAGGCAGTCAATCTTTATGGAAGCAGATTGCCCAGTCTTCCTTCTGATGAGTGGCTGGTGGGTTTGAACTGCCAGTCTTCTGGTTAGCAGTCAGATTCCTTAGGCACTACACCACCAAAGCTAGGTTTTGTTATCCTCAGGTCAAGGCTAAATGTTACAGTCTGATCTTACAGTTCTCTACGGAGCCAAGCCAAAGGAAGGATGCACTCTCTGACTACTGAGTTAAGAGGGAAGCACTCCTTCGGGACAAGCCTGAAGATGGTGGCAGCAGACAGAGAGGCACCACAGTGGGGAGGCAGATTTCGGGGTGGAGGAATCAGGGACACATGGCCCACTGTATCTCATGAAGATTTTCCCTCCACACTAAACCTTGGAAGACTGTGGAATGATTTTACTAGGAAAAATCAGGTAAGTTATCTGACTTAGAACATTTAGCTAACTGACATTGAAAGAGACATGACTGATCTGTACTGATGTCTGTTTCACTCAATAAAAGCTGTGTGGTGGTTTTCCTAAAGTACCAAATGCAGTACATAAAAACAAACTTTTGAAATTCAAATGATAAACAGCTTTGAAATGAAATGACTTACCATAGAAAGGTCACTATTATCTTTGTTTGTGAATGTGTCCCCACTAGCACAATCAATGCCAAACAATGCACAGATGTCTCCGGCATAGACTTCCTCCACATCCTGAGTAAATAACACAAAAAAGAAATTCGTAAGTGATACCAATCAAGACATGGTAACTAAATCACATAATAAACATATTTTAAACAAACAAATATGACAAGATCTCCCACAGTGAATTCTACAAAGAATGAATTAGATAGAATCAATACAACACCAACAATCAGCTGCACCAAGACATATCTTAAATAAGGTCCTTGTTTAAACCACACCTCACTAGACACGATTTCACTTCAAATGAGAAACTCAGAGGACCTGTAGTATTAACAAGAGTCTCACAGTTCTAAAATTATTTCTATAGATTAAAAAGCATACACTATTTATGCTGCTACAGTCAAGAGAATGGTATGTGCATGACTGAGAAATCTAAGGAAAAACTGCAAAGGAAGTTTTGAAAACAAAGGCAGGAGAATGGAGCCTACTGTACTTAAAATAATCTTAATTTTCCACAGATGCAAGCAGTCAAGAAAACACAGGAAATCTAAGAACAAAGCATTGGTGCCTCTAAGCTTCCTAGATTTTTGTCCTTCTGTATTTAAAGTTCATTCATAACAGCTGTGGCTGTGAGAGGGGGTGTGTCTTTGATAGCTGCACAACTGTACACATCTAGCTTCAGGCCCACAAAACAGCTATGACAATTACTAATCCTTCACCCTGTCTCCTGCTATCTATCTCAGCAACACTGTCCCCAATTTTGAAAATTTTACTATTTATCTTTCAGAAGAGACAAAAGTCATGGCCACCAAAGATTTCTGAATGTCACAGGATTTTGCTTAGACTGATACAGTTCTCTAGGAATCCACCAAATTAGGAAATGCTAGAAGTAGGAGGCAACTGCATGTATCAGTACTCCCAAATAATCCACAGATGGTTAGGGCAGATTCAGGGTGAATTCAAAATTTCAAACCACAGGCCAAAGTTTATCTCCCAGACTAAACTTTGAGAAGTTTAAAATCTTTAAATAGATTCTGATACATATCTTTAAATAGATATAGTCCTCCAGGGGGTTCCACAACAGGAATGAAAGCTCAAGGGTTAAGCAGAGCTTTCAGGCCTGACGTATTTCAGATTCACTAGAATGGAGATTCATCGAACAATGTGTGAAATTATGGGTGAATTTATTACTTTCAGTTACCTTTGATCACAGTACCACTGCCCGAAATACCTACTGCACTATGCCACCAGAGCTCACAAAAAACCTACTGCACTCTATAATGAGAGCTCTTGAGCAAAGTGTTAAATCTTGCGTTCTGAGTTTTAGGGACTGTTCCTTCTCTTTAACCTTGACAATTGAGGAAATCTAGCAAATTCACAACCAGTGGTCTAAAATATATTCTTAACTAATATCTGCTAATTCACCCTACAGTAGATCAGAGCTGCCTAAGTAAGAAAGAAGTAGCTAGAAGAACACTTAAGTTCAACTAGAAGGGATTTGCCAGAGGGGATCAGGATAGCAAGAAGGTAAGGCTACTTACTTACATTAGAGAAATTTTCAATCTCACACAAGGACCCTGTACTTGCCTCCATCACGTCAGCATGCATGCGGACCAGCCGTTGGACCCGTACTTTCTTTCTTGTCCTTGTATTATAGACAGTGTCACCCTTCTTCAACTCTCCCTGATAATTACGAACGTAAGTTACCTGTCCAAATCTACCTGCCTAGAAGTAAAGATTGGGTAAGGGCGGAAAGAGTAAGAAAGAAACACAAGAATCAAAATTAGGAGGAAAACTTCATACTTGTTCCCGAATATCCCTCCCAATTTTAATAATTTACCTCATATATGTGTTTTATTCATAAATTACTTGTAGTATTAGTTTGGAATACAATACCAAAACTAACTGCCATCGAGTCACTTCTAACTCACAGCAACCCTAGAGGACAACAGAACTGCCCCTTAGGGTTCCCAAGGCTGTAAATCTTTATAAAAGGAGAGTGTCCCATCTTTCCGCCATGGAGTGGCTGGTGGGTTCCAACCACAGACCTTTTGGTTAGCAGCCAAATGCTTTAACCACTATGCCACCAGAGCTCTTTAGTTTGGAATACAGGTAAGATAAATCACATGGCTGTTGATCCATCTTTTTGGTATCATAATCCAAGATACTTCTGCTCCCTCTGAAATAAAAGTTCTTAGAAAAAATTTTTACATTTATACAGTAAGAATGTATGTTTTTGCCTTCAAATATTATTTCATAATTCCAATTTAATATAGTAAGACAAACAAAAATTAGCCATAATTATTGGAAAGACAAGAAAAATACCATTTGAAAAATGGCAAGACTGTACTATACATCTAAAACAACTTTTGGTAATCACTCGGGAAACTATTTAAGAGTTCTAAAAATGACCAAATATGAATAATTAAGGATTAAGTCTTCCTAAATACCAACACTAGCCAATTAGATACATATTTTGTAATGATGCCAATTCTTCTCATATTAATTTATAGGTTTACAATAACAGCAATCAAAATCCCAACAGGAATTTTAAACACTTAATGATTTTGAAATTCATTTAGAATAATAAATAGGTAGAAACAAATTACTGAAAAGCTATGGTAATGAAAGAAACTAACCCTAACTGATTAAAACAAACTAAATGCTCCAAAATTTAAAAAGTATAAATGAGCACAAAATAGATTGATCAGTCCAAACAATATATTATAAATACCTAAAACATACAATACACTTGTAAATAAATAATAAAAGAGGTATCTCAAATCAATGGAAAAGTACAGGACTGTTGACAAAACTGATAACTGGACAAGTGATTTTTTTATTTGGCGGTATAAGAAATAAATTTAGATCCTTTTTCACAGGATACACTAAAATAAATTCTAGGTAGATTAATGATTTAAAAAAAAAAGTATACGAGAAACAAAACTCAGTATTTACTAAGTATATAGAAAGAAGAGGATTTCTACAACTAAAAATGAGTAAGTACAAAAACTAATATATACATTTTAAACTGCTGATTGTTTAAAGAAACTTTATTAGAAAAAGCCTATGCAAATAAATAACACATTTTGACAGAAATAAATTAAAAAGCAAAAGAAAAGAGACAACTATGAAAGGAGAAATATGGCAAGAATGCATAGGAAAGGACACAGGGAAAAAGTAACCACAGGAAGGAAGTGGGACCACAGGTATTGTATTATAGGGATTGCAATCAATGTCATGAAACAAAATATGTATGAACTGTTGAAAGGAAAATGAATTTGCTCTGTAAACATTCACCTAAATTACAATTTTAAAAAAAATATGTATAATATATGGAAAATGCTGTGTCTGTAGGAATTAAGGCAAAATGATATTAACTACTTTTCATTCATTAAATCAGTAATTATTTTTAAATGATGATAACCAATGCTGATAAACATTCAGTAAAATAATCTATTAATTCTTAGACTATGAAAGCAATCTGTCAATATAAATCATATCAATAAATGCTAAATCAATAAATCAATAAATGCTAAAACATTACATACCTTTATCTCAACAACCACTATTCTGAGAATTTATCCTAAGAAAAGATTCTTAAATACCTATTTTTCAGTATTATATATAAAATTTTTTACTATATTGTTACTTATAATTTTTAATTAAAAATCCTTTTTACTAATTATAAAAAAATATTTAAAAGGCAAAAAATATAATCCCACCCTAGAAATAACCTCTTAACACCTCCAACTTTTCCATCTTTATTCACACTTAAAATAACATGAACAAAACACCAGCACATTAGCAACAAGCACACCAAGCATCCAAATCTTGGTTTCCAATACCATTCTCCAATAAAAAAAACCAAAGCCAAACCCACTGACATTGAGTAGATTCCAACTTACAGCAATTCTCTAGAGCAGAGTCCAACTGCCACATAGGGTTTCTAAAGCCGTAAATCTTTACAGAAGCAGACTCCCTCATCTTCCTCCGTGACGGGGCTGGTGGGTCTGAAACACTGACCTTTTGGTTAACAGGCAAATGCTTTAAACAACTATGCCACCAAAACACCTTTCCAATAAAAGAACCATAAAAAAAAAAAAAAAAAAAAAAATTGCTGTCCAGTTGATTCCTACTCATACCAACCCTACAGGACAGAGCAGAATTGCCCCTTAGAGTTTCTAACACTATAATCTTTCAGAAGCTGACTGCAACATCTTTCTCCTACAAAGCAGCCGGTGGACTGGTGGATTCAAACTGCCAACCTTTCAGTGAATAGTCTAAAGTTAACCACTATTCCACGAGCGCTACAAAAGGAACCAGGGCTCAAAGAAAAGCCAGATTCTAGGGCTGAGGCAAGGAATATAAAGATGAACCTGGAGCATCTTGTAGTGTCAGAAAGAAACGACGTACTCAAAAAAGCAGAACAGTGGAAATGTATCAAAGGGATTCAGGAGCCAGGTGAAAGAGGACCTAATGGACAAAACTTGCCAATTTGAGCAACAGAATAAATGATAGTAGATTAGAACCCAAAGTGTAAAAATAAATATCCATGAATTTACATGGATATAAACACATAAATGAGGAAGAAAAGTCTCCCATACAGAAGCATTCAAATAATTTATGTAGATATTATTCCCTCAAGGAAATGGAGTATAACTTGCAAGCCTTAAGTGTTGGCTGCACAGTCACTTTGTTCCACAGAACAATATGACAAGGAGGAAAAAGAGTAACTTTATAGTGGAGAAATCAGAGAAACACTACCTTAGCAAAGTAATCTAGGTCAACATCAATGGTAGTAAGTTATGTTGATAGTTTGTACCCTTGATATGATGTGATGAAAATGGCACTTTACCTCTGTGGTCTTCCTTCTTAAAACACATAAACCCAATCTAAACATGAGAAGGAGTCCTTTGTGGTGGTACAAATGGCTAACACACTTAGCTGCTAAACAAATAGGTAGAGGTTCGAGTACATGCAGAAGTGCCTTAGAAGAAAGGCCCAGTGATCTTCTTCCATAAAACCAGCCATGGATGGCTGGGACAAAAGAAGTATCACTTATAATAATCAAACAGTTAGGCTGAGCTCTGATTACTCAGCAGAAACTATGCAGGCAAGAAGGCAATGGGGTGGCATATATAAAACACTGAAGGAAAAGAACTTCCAACCAAGAATCCTATATCCAGCTAAACTGTCCATCAAATATGAAGGCAAAATCAAAACATTCTCAGACAAACAGAAATTAAGGGATTTTGTGAAAACCAGACCAACCCTACAAGAAATGCTTAAGGAAGGCCTTCCATTAGAGAACCTACAACAGAGAACAACAAAATCAGGACACGTGATACCAACACTAAAACCAAATCAGAAATGCACACTTCAAAATAAGACCATAAAACATTGTACACTAAAAATCAAGGAAGCCAATCTGCATACAACAGCAACTAACCAAATAGAGGGAATAAAAGTTATAGGTACAAACTTCCAAATGGAGAGCAAAACAGGACAATGTCCTCATAAAACAGACTGTTCTAAAAATATAGAGACAAGAATTGACTCCAAGGTAATGAGAGAAAATTAATAACCCCCCTAAACAAATCCAGAAGGAAGGAAAACATATGGGTTTAATAAGCACAAAACCAACAATAAAGAAGAGAAGAGAGGAAACACTTCACAACAAAATGAACTGAGCACAGAAAAGTATATGAACCAAGGAAACTCCAACAACATGACAAAAAAACACAATAGAATGACAGCAATCAAGTCATACCTATCACTAATTACAGTCAATGTGAATGGACTAAATGCACCAATCAAGAGAAAGAGAGTGGCAGACTGGATAAGAAAAGAAGACCCATCTATATGCTGCCTACAAGAGACCCACCTTAGACACAAAGATAAAAACAAATTAAGAGTTAAAGGGTGGAAAAAATATACCAAGCCAACAGTCACCAAAAGAAAGCAAGAGTGGCAATATTAATTTCTGATAAAATAGACTTTAAGATGAAAAACAACATAAGAGACAAAGAAGGACATTATATGATGCTGAAAGGGTCAACTGACCAAGAAGACATTACAATAATAAATATTTACACATCCAGTGAAAGTGCTCCAAAATACATGAAGTAAATATTAGTTGAATTAAAAGGGACAACAGACAAACTCTACAATAGTAGTAGGAGACTTTAACACACCACTTTCAAGGAGGGACAGATCAACTAGAAAAAAAACTCAACAAAGATACAAAAGAACTCAACAATATAATCCATCAACTTGACCTCACAGATGTATACAGAGCATCCTTCCCAACAAAAGCACAATTCACATTCTTCTGCAGTGCATGTGGATTCTTCTCCAGAATACATATATGTTAGGACATAAAACAAGCCTCAATAAATTCAAAAATGTTGAAATACTACAAAGCATCTTCTTGGACCACAATGCTATAAAATTAGAAATTAATAACAAGAAGAATAAGGAAAAAACATCACACGTGGAAGCTGAACAATTCACTGCTCAAAAACTACTGGGTAATAGAAGAAATAAAAAGTGAAATAAAAAAATTCCTAGAAACAAATGACAATGAAGATACATACATCATACCTCAACCCATGCGACACAGAGAAAGCAGTACTCAGAGGTCAGTTTATAGCAATAATGCATACATCAAAAAACATGAAAGAAAGAAAATCAACATTAACTCAACAACTCCAACAAC